CCACCCACCCGGAGAATTTATAAACAGATACACATCTCTGTTATATTTTTCTATACCGAGAAATAGCAGAATGCCAATAAGTTGATTCGATAGTTCACTATCGACCTCTTGGCCTAAAAAAAGTAATCTTTCTCGATAAAGTCGATTGATTAGGATTTAATCTTATACCTTAAGAGCCGTACATGCACCTTTTGATGCATACGGTTCACTAAAAATCATATAAACAAAAAGGAATCAATGTGTCTATTTCAACCCTCTTTCCCTTTTCATAATGGACTCTTTCGAATTTTTAACGAAAAAAAATGTACTAAATTTATTGAACTAACTTCTCATTGATGTATTGCTTTCATCGAGATCGAACACAAATCACAATGTAATTTTCTTGTTTCTGAATGGACTTCCTCAATTCTTTTAGGTTTCTTTTCTACTCTAAGTAAGGATAAGGATCTGCCCGATTTTTATTTGCACATATAGGACAAATATTACAATACCATGTCTTTTTGTTACGACTTATCTCTTCTCTGAATTTATTATTTCATTTTTTCTGTAAAATATATGATATGATAGAAGTAGTAATTGTGGATATTTTACCAATTGGTTTTTTTCTAAACAGAGTCTGGATACTTCGTTTTATTGGTCCAAGCAAGCCAACCATAAATTATTTTGAATTTCGAATAGTAATCTGGATACCCCCTCCAAAAAATAAAAAATCGATCGAATTGCACTTCATTACACTTCACGCTCCAAATTTTGGATGATTCAATCATTCTTTTTTGGTGGTGAAAGAGAGGATATCTCAATCGGGGGGGGAGAACGGGGAAATCCCGTATGACCAAATATATCTGACAAGTCGCACTATATATCAATCCAAGATGCATTTCCTTCTCCAGGACTTCGAAAGGTTACTTTTGGAACACCAATGGGCATAAAATAGAGAAAAAAAAAAGAAAAAAAAATAACATATTTAACTTTAGTGTGGTAACGTAAGAATGGGTTTATTGTGTTAAAAAGAATTTGCTTTTATTATATGGTATTTTTTTATAAATCATAAAAAGGGAAGAGTAAAGATAAAGATAGCGTAAAGTTGTTACGAATGGGTCCTTGGGTGATTAACGAATATGTCTGCATTTACATATTTAAATATTCATAGAGAAAATTGTCAACCCCCCCTTCCCACCATTGCGTATTCTTACTTATCGGGTATAGAATAGATCTGCTTCTTCTTGTTCCTACAAATATGATTGTTCCACTATTACTAAACACTATTACTAAAAAACTAGAACAAACATTAATTCTTTCTCCGAGATATCTACTAAAAGGTAAAAGGTGAAGAATCCATAGTATAGTTTTTTCCAGTGCAATAAAGTTACATAGTGTCTATTTTTTGTTGATATAAGGGGTATTTCATGGGTTTACCTTGGTATCGTGTTCATACTGTTGTATTAAATGATCCAGGCCGTTTGCTTTCTGTTCACATAATGCATACAGCTCTGGTTGCTGGTTGGGCTGGTTCGATGGCTCTATATGAATTAGCAGTTTTTGATCCCTCTGACCCTGTTCTTGATCCAATGTGGAGACAGGGTATGTTTGTTATACCCTTCATGACTCGTTTAGGAATAACCAATTCGTGGGGCGGTTGGAATATCACCGGGGGGACTATAACGAATCCGGGTATTTGGAGTTACGAAGGTGTGGCCGGAGCACATATTGTGTTTTCGGGCTTGTGCTTTTTAGCGGCTATCTGGCATTGGGTTTATTGGGATCTAGAAATTTTTTGTGATGAACGTACCGGAAAACCTTCTTTGGATTTGCCCAAAATTTTTGGAATTCATTTATTTCTTGCAGGAGTGGTTTGTTTTGGTTTTGGAGCATTTCATGTAACAGGATTGTACGGTCCTGGAATATGGGTGTCTGATCCTTATGGATTAACGGGAAGGGTACAATCCATAAATCCCGCATGGGGTGTGGAAGGTTTTGATCCTTTTGTTCCGGGGGGAATAGCTTCTCATCATATTGCAGCAGGAACATTGGGCATATTAGCGGGTCTTTTCCATCTTAGTGTGCGTCCACCGCAACGTCTATACAAAGGATTGCGTATGGGAAATATTGAAACCGTCCTTTCCAGCAGTATCGCTGCTGTCTTTTTTGCAGCTTTTGTTGTTGCTGGAACTATGTGGTATGGTTCAGCAACTACCCCCATTGAATTATTTGGTCCCACTCGTTATCAATGGGATCAAGGATACTTCCAGCAAGAAATATATCGAAGAGTTGGTGCTGGGCTAGCCGAAAATCAAAGTTTATCAGAAGCTTGGTCTAAAATTCCTGAAAAATTAGCTTTTTATGATTACATCGGCAATAATCCAGCAAAAGGGGGATTGTTTAGAGCGGGCTCAATGGATAATGGAGATGGAATAGCCGTTGGTTGGTTAGGGCATCCCATCTTTAGAGATAAAGAGGGGTGTGAACTTTTTGTACGCCGTATGCCTACTTTTTTTGAAACATTTCCGGTTGTTTTAGTAGACGGAGACGGAATTGTTAGAGCCGATGTTCCTTTTCGAAGGGCAGAATCGAAATATAGTGTCGAACAAGTAGGTGTAACTGTTGAGTTCTATGGTGGCGAACTCAATGGAGTCAGTTATAGTGATCCTGCTACTGTGAAAAAATATGCTAGACGTGCTCAATTAGGTGAAATTTTTGAATTAGATCGTGCTACTTTGAAATCAGATGGTGTTTTTCGTAGCAGTCCAAGAGGTTGGTTTACTTTTGGACATGCTTCGTTTGCTCTACTCTTCTTTTTCGGGCATATTTGGCATGGTGCTAGAACCTTGTTCCGAGATGTTTTTGCTGGGATCGACCCAGATTTGGATGCTCAAGTAGAATTTGGAGCATTCCAAAAACTTGGAGATCCAACTACAAGAAGACAGATAGTATGATAGAGCATTCTTTTGTTCCTTTTCGACTTTTTTTGTTTTTGTTGTTATGATTTGAATTTGACATAAAGAACCAGATAAATCTTGATTCGACTCAAAACACTTTGTTTTCACTTTTTTTCTTTATCCGAGAAATGAGCTCCAATAAACAATAAACAGGTATGAAAGCTATAATTGTAAACCACGATTAAATCTATGGAAGCATTGGTTTATACATTCCTCTTAGTTTCGACTTTAGGAATCATTTTTTTCGCTATCTTTTTTAGAGAACCCCCTAAAGTTCCAACTAAAAAAATGAAATGATTTTTCATTATCTCAATGGAAGTAATGAGCCCCCAATATTATATTAAGGGCTCATTACTTCAACTAGTCCCCATGCTCTTCGAATGGATCTCTTAGTTGTTGAGAGGGTTGCCCAAAAGCAGTATATAAGCATACCAGTAAAATTACAAGTAAACCAGATATAGAATGGCAACTAGGGTTGCTGTTTCCATTATAATTCTAAAATTCTTAGAATTCAAATTTCAACACAATGGATTATAGATATAGATCTATATTTAAGCGAATGGTATACAAAGTCAACAGATCTCAATCAATATAAATAGATTTATGGCTACACAAACTGTTGGGTATTCTAATCTAGTCCAAGACGAACTATTGTAGGGATTTATTAAACCATTAAATTCAGATATGGTAAAGTAGCTCCGGGGTGGGACTACTCCTTGATGGTGTTGCAATGGCTCTATTTGCGATATTTCTATCTATTATTTTGGAATTTATAATTCGTCATTTTACTGGACGGAATTCTATGAATAGATTCACAGAATCAAGTAACTAGCTTTCAATAGAAACTAAGGTAAGCATTTAGGTTTTATCGTTAGCTATTTCATTTGATTTGGTAGTTTGATCGTGAAACTTTTGTTTCTGTATTTCCGGAATATGATGTGTGATTGTTTAATGATCTTATTGATAGTACAGACATAAAAAAATGGATCTGTCATTTGATAGAATTTTTACCCCGTCAGATATTTATTCTAGTATCTGGGTACGGAATATAGAAAATCAAAAATATTCTTAAATATTAGAACTATGTTATACTAAATATTTAGACTCGTAATGATTTAAAAATTTTCAAAAGTTGAAAGAAAATTGAAAATGAAAATTATTTAAAACTTCCGTCGATTATCTTTATTTTGATCAACGGACAAATGTTTCTTTGTTCTATCTATTCATTGAATAAGTGATGATCCAGCAGTTCTTACTCAGGAAATTTTTGGACTTCGATTAAAGGTTTTTTTTGAATCATCGTGGTCATGATACGAATCTGATGTTTTTTTTAATTGATTCATATGGTCCTAACAAGAGAATTCCTATCAATAATAATAATTAAGAAAACAGCAGTAAAAAAAAGAACATTACACACAAATAAAAAATGGAAGTAAATAATAGAATATTCAAGAGGCCTACTGTAAATAAAGACGAGTGAGCCGACTTGATATTTTGGCATTATAACCACAAAGAATAGTTTTCGGATTTCTATTTTTTCTTATCTTCCGAAAAGATTGGAATCATAGGATTCCGTTAAGAAGTTTCAAGCTTTCTATTACACATATCTGTTTTCATTACAACCAGTATTTGGGTATTTTTGTTTGAGCCGTACGAGATGAAAATTCTCATATACGGTTCTCGGGGGGGGTACCTTAGTTTACCTATCTCAATAAAGTCTATGATTGGTTCGAAGAACGTCTTGAGATTCAG